CCCCAAAACCCCAAAACCCCAAAACCCCAAAACCCCAAAACCCCAAAACCCCGTTTTCCTGTATGGTGTTGAAAATTATTATACTTTTATTCCTAATATCTAAAAAATAAAGATGCTAAACAGACTTGGCACGAAGAAACTTATGACTCAAGCTAGAAGCTTCAGGTAAGCTCCTTCAGTGCTAGAACTGATGTATTGACATGTTTGTATATAGCTCAATCATTGGAATTGATCTGGGAACTACTAACTCATGCGTAGCAGTGATGGAAGGATCTAACCCAAGAGTTATCGAAAATGCTGAAGGTGCAAGAACCACTCCTTCTTATGTTGCTTTCACTGATGATGGGCAAAGACTTGTCGGACTCCCAGCTAAGAGACAGGTAAGTTAGAGTGTCTGTTTGCAGATCTGATTGTACATTTAGGCTGTAACCAACCCAGAAAACACTTTGTTTGCAACTAAGAGACTCATTGGAAGAAGATTTAATGATGAGAACACCCAGAAGGATCTTAAGCATCTTCCTTACAAAGTTGTAAGAGCTAACAATGGAGACGCCTGGGTTGAAGCTAAAGGACAAAAGTATTCACCATCCCAAGTTGGTGCTTTCATTCTTGGAAAAATGAGAGAGACTGCTGAAGCTTATCTCGGAGAATCGGCCAAACAAGCCGTTGTCACTGTTCCAGCCTATTTCAATGATTCACAGAGACAGGCTACCAAGGATGCTGGAAAAATTGCTAATTTAGACGTAAAGAGAATCATCAACGAGCCAACCGCAGCTGCTCTTGCTTTTGGACTCGATAAGAGTGATGGTAAAGTAATTGCTGTCTACGATCTCGGAGGTGGTACCTTCGATATCTCCTTGCTCGAGATCTCAGGAGGAGTCTTTGAAGTTAAATCAACCAACGGAGATACTTCCTTGGGAGGAGAAGATTTCGATTTGATTCTCCAAGAGTTCTTAGTTGCTGAGTTCAAAAGCCAGACCGGTGTGGACATAGCAGGCGACAAGCTGGCCATCCAGAGGATCAAGGAAGCAGCAGAGAAGGCTAAAATCGAGTTGTCATCTACATCACAGACTGAGGTCAACTTGCCATACTTGTCTGCTGATGCTTCAGGACCAAAGCATTTGCAAGCTTCTATCACTAGAGCTAAACTCGAATCCTTGGCTGAATCATTGATTTCTAGAACTTTAAAGCCATTAGAGAATGCTATTAAAGATTCAGGACTATCTAAATCAGATGTTGATGATATTTTGTTGGTTGGAGGTATGACTCGTATGCCAAAGGTTGTCGACACCGTCAAAAATTTCTTTGATGGAAAAGCCCCATCAAAGGGTGTCAACCCAGATGAAGCCGTCGCTATTGGAGCTGCTATCCAAGGTGCAGTTCTCACTGGAGATGTCAAAGATGTTCTCTTGCTGGATGTAACTCCATTATCTTTGGGTATTGAGACTCTTGGAGGAGTTTTCACCAGATTAATCCAAAGAAACACTACTATCCCAACCAAGAAATCCCAAGTATTCTCTACTGCAGCTGACAATCAAACAAAGGTAGGAATTAAGGTCTTCCAAGGAGAAAGAGAAATGGCTGTTGACAATAAATTGTTGGGAGAATTCGAACTCGGAGGAATCCCAATGGCTCCAAGAGGACACCCACAGATCGAAGTATCTTTCGATATCGATGCTTCAGGTATTGTAAATGTATCTGCCAAGGACAAATCTACTGGAAAGCAATCTAATGTCACTATCAGAAGTTCAGGTGGACTCTCTGACTCTGACATTGACAGAATGGTCCAAGAAGCTGAGAACGCCAGAGAAAAGGATGCTGCCAAGAAAGAAATGATTGAGGTAAAGAATGAGGCTGACTCCATGATCTATCAGACTGAGAAGCAATTGTCTGAGCATGCTGATAAGATCCCAGACAATGTCAAGGAGCAAGTTAATGGAGATATCTCTTCATTAAACGAAGCTATCACCACTGAAGATGCTGATGCTATCAAAGAAGCTCTTGAGAGACTAAAGAACTCTTCCATGGAGATTGGAAAGTCTATTTACTCTCAATCTTCCTCCGAAGGTGAACAACAAGCTGAGCCAGAAGCTGAACAAAAAGAAGAAAAGAAGGAGTAATTTTTAACATTCTGGATTCCTAATATTTCCATGAATCCTCAGCCTGCGGGGTTTTGGGGTTTTGGGGTTTTGGGGTTTTGGGGTTTTGGGGTTTTGGGG